GCTATATATAATCATTTTGATGTTTGAAGTATAGAAATATTACAATTATGACTAATTATAAATTTCTTTGGGCTGCTCAAAGCCAATATAACTTACATTCGCGCACGTTTCACGCGCATACAATAGCTCGTAATGGAAATCCTATTTAATTATTTTTTTAAGAAGCGTACGTTTCAACGAAGCGTTTTGCTTCACGTACAAAATGGTCATATTGCGACAATACTGGCAGCGCAGCAAAGAAGGCAGTTAGTGTGCTGCTAATCGATCTGAACCACATACAATGTATGCATTTTATCTATGTTAAGTGTTATTTCATGATGACTGTCGAAACCATTGGTGCCAAATATGTGATTAAACAAAACATATTTTTAATAGATGGATTTCGAATAAGTTCTGAAATTCGAATAAGTTCTTCGAAAATGTCTAAATTACTAGATAAGGCAAGGAACTATGGCGCCTTCCACTTCATTTTAATGTACAAAACAAAAATAATTCGACTACAATCATATAACGATATAAGGCATCATTGCCAAATAAACATAACGTTATCTAATTAATGTATCTATGTCAATATAATTATATGAAGCTATACACATATTAAAATATTCTCGAGCACAACTATATTTTGCTTTATGTCTAAAGCAATAGACTACAGAAATACAGAAAAATCATCGTACGTATTTACATATTCTTAACGAATGCCAGCACCGATAAAGCTTTTAATATCGTCACAACTTCTACACGCTTTTTTTTAATCGCGCATAGAAGATTTATCATACAAAATATAATGATTTAATATCTACAAAGCATTGAAAATCATATTCCTGTATGTACTTCTTCTCTTAAATAATATCACACTGAAGACTGTCATAACTGGATCTTGATTACATCCGTGGCTGCGTCCTCATACTACATGATCGTGTTTGGAAATGATGTATAAAACAATAAATAGGCACTCGTGTTTTGAGACTTCACTTGGTTCGGTGATACTTCCGTGACAGTTTGATCATCGTACTTGTACCATCTGCAGATACACATATCATTATAATAATAACATAAAAAATTACATCCAAAATATTTTTGCTACAGAAAATTCTTATTGAAAAATATTATACGTACTTATTTTGAGTAGAGTTTTTGCAAAATGCTGTGTAGTGACCACCGTCCATTGTTCCATAATGATTTGATATCGCATAGAGAGTGTAATTGTAATTACGGATATTATTCGACATAATCGCCTTCGTGTTCTCCAAGACAAGGTATGGCTTCAAGTTAAATCCCGTGAGAGGAAAATCGACAGCGGTGTTGCGCTTTTCTAACCATCCGCCACTCTCAGCGAAACGGTTCAAGTGAATCACGACAATGGGTGCAAGTTTGACGAAATCGAATTTTTTCGTCGCGTCGCGAGGTGTCTGACACTTAGGACATTTCCATCCGCTCACTTTCTGTCCTGTCACAAACTTCTCCATACAATCCTGAAATAATAAAACAAAACAATTTCATGAAACATAGAATTGTCATAAAATGCTATATGTATGTATCTTTTCATTTAAATTTAATTGATTTAAATTATATTAAGATAATAGGCTACTCGAGTCAGCACTAAAAGTCACACAATCGCCGATAACAAAAGAAGTCAAATATATACTTCAAACATTTTGATCTTTAATATGATTCTCTTCAATGAGTACAAAAATAGTTAATGTTGTTATTTTGTATCAGTGTTATGTATCATTGTTTTAATTTTTTAATTAATTTAATGATTTATTAATCATTTATATTATGTTTATACATAAAAAAAGAAGGAAAAATGAAAAAATCATATTATTCAAGTTCAATCATATTATTCAATTGTATTATATTGTATAACATAATTATATATATGTTATTTATATACATATATATAATTATATATTATATAATACAATTACTTGAATATGATTTTTTCATTTCTCATATATATTTAAAATCATATATATTTATATATTTAAAAAATGTGGTATATTTTATAAAATACTTACATTTAAAGTGCACCGATTGGATTGAGATAAAGACATTGTTAAACTATTAAATGTTTCGTACGTAGTACTCGCTTGTTTGCAAAATGAACATGTAATGGTGGATCTTAATTGCCCAAAAAATAAGTCCGATATTATAGATCTCTGAGAATTCATTGCTTTGTCCCATTCTTTCTCCGCATTAGTTATTTCAATCGGCATTTTCACGTTCTACGAGGAAAAGATAAATTTTAATATTTTAGTATTTATTTTAACATTAATTAATTTTCGTCAAATTATCCATCACAAATTTTTACCTTTTTAAGTTCATTATGCATCCAGTCTAATAGGAACGTGAGGAATTCATGGGAATCTTGTTGTTCGTAACTTTCAAATTGTAATTTGTATTGTCCAACCGCAACCTGTAATAATTCATACCAATTGAAAAAATTACCTTGATAGTTTAAAAATAAGACTCTACGAGTTAAAGTTACCTTTAGGTCGTAAGGAGATATGCTCTTGTACTGGCCTCTCCATAGCGCTTTAATTACTTGAGCCACTTCTTCCACCACTTGGCCTTGTGTCATATTGTCATTATTCGTATTGAGATCATCAGCATATGAATTATCAGTAAAATATTTCGCTAAGTTCGTAGTATTACTTAGGCACTGAATGATGCTGTTCATATAACAAGAATTGCCCAAATTCTTCAGCCCGGTTATACCTGGATGCTGTAAATACAAGGAGGCTATTTTTACACTGATAAATCACATTATCAATTATATATAATTGTCATATCTACATATATATATATATATATATA